ACAGGGCTCAACAGCGAGCCTCTGACCGGCTGGGGTCCAGCGCCGGACGCAGTCCCGCCCCAAGGGCACAGGGGATCAGGGGTTGGGTTATGGTCTCTGGTTTTGGGGTTGAGGGTTTGGGGTTTGGGGTTTGGGGTTTAGGGCTAGGGTTTAGGGTTTTGGGTTTAGGGTTTTGGGTTTAGGGTTTAGGGTTCGGGGTTTAAGGTTTAGGGTTTCGGGTTTTGGGGTTTGGGTTTTGGGGATTTTGGTTTGGGGTCTAGGCCTGCTCTTTGACTACCCAGGCTGATCCTGGCACGTTCTCAACGAAGGGCTCCCATGAACCAGCAGGACTTAGGGTTTAGGGTTTAGGGTTTAGGGTTTACCCTGAATCCTAAACCCTAAACCCTAAACCCTAAACCCTAAACCCTAAAACCTAAACCCTAAACCCTAAACCCTAAACCCTAAACCCTAAACCCTAAACCCTAAACCCTAAACCCTAAACCCTAAACCCTAAACCCTAAGCCCAGACCCACGCATCTGCGACGGACGCCCAGGTGCCCGACGAGCAGCTGAAGCTGCTGTTGGGCGAGTCCCGGCCCTCGGTTCGGGGTTTAGGGTTTAGGGTTTTTTGTTTAGGGTTTAGGGTTTCGGGTTTAGGGTTTGGGGTTTAGGCTATGGTTTAGGGTTTAGGATTTAGGGTGCTTCGGGTCTTCATGCGGCCTTTTTTGGTTAAGGCGGCTTGCGAGGGTTTGAGGGTTTGGTGTTTACGGTTTAGGGTTTAGGGTGTAGGGTGTAGGGATTCGGGTTTTGCCAGTTTGGGGTTTAGGGTTTAGGGTTTTTGTTTGGGTTTAGCTGTTCAGGCTGTTTTTTTGGGGGTTTAGCTGTTTGGGGGTTAGGAGCTTGCTTGACGCCTTGCCACGGGGTTGGGGCCGCGGAGTTCCTAGTCTTTCAGGAGGGCTCCAAATGTGCTGTTTAAGCTGAAAGCCTCGAACCCTGAGGCCCTGAACCCCGAACCCTAAGGCCCAGGCCCTAAACCCTAAACCACAAACCCTAAACCCTAAACCCTAAACCACAAACCCTAAAGGTACAACCCTGAGCGCTAGTAAAGTCTGGGTCACAGTGCGCATAGATCTCAACCAGCCTGAAGCTCTTAACCCTCAACCCCCGGACCCTAAGCCCTCAACCCTAAGCCCTAAACCCTCAACCCTCAACCCTCAACCCTACTGAAAACCCTAAACCCTAAGCCCTAAGCCCTAAGCCCTAAGCCCTAAACCCTAAACCCTAAACCCTAGACCCTCGGAAGCTGGGCGTCGCCAAGGCTTGGCCTGCCATCGGCCAGAAGCTTCCAATCTGTGACTGGGCTGTGCTCCTGAGGTTTAGGGTTTAGGGTTTAGGGTGTAGGGTTTAGGGTTGAGGGTTGAGGGTTGAGGGTTGAGGGTTTAGGATTTTTGGGGGTTTAGGGGTGTTTGGGGTTTAGGTTTGGGGTTCAGGGGTTTAGGGTTTAGGGGGGTTTAGGTTTAGGGGGTTTAGGGGTTTAGGGTTTAGGGGATTAAGGGTCAGGGGTTTGGGGGTTTAGGGGTTCAGGGCTTTTTGGGGGTTTAGGGGGTTCAGGGGGTTTAAGGCTTTGGGGTTTAATCTCAGGGGGATTTATGGGTTTAGGGGTTCAAGGTTTAGGGGTTTGGTCTTAAGGTTCGGGGTTGGGGGTTGAGGGTTTAGGAAGACCTAGGCCCGACTACACCCTGAAAGGGCGGCCTTTCCAAAGCAAGGCCCGCTCGTGGAGGAGTTTCGGAGCTCGGGGGAAACGAGGTCACCCTTTGGAAGCAGCATGGTATCCATTTTTCGGGGGAGATGTTGAGGGCGATCTTTGCAATAAGCCCTTAGCCCCAAACCCTACAAACCGCAGACCCGAAGACCCTCAACCCTAATTAGAGTCGGGTTCTAGTAGTGAGGACTATGGGATGGCAGAGGCCTTGAAAGAGTTGGGGCTCCCTTATAAGCCCCTTAACACCAAAAAGGGCACTCTTGTATAACCCAAAACCCTAAACCCTAAACCCTAAACCCTAAACCCTAAACCCTAAACCCTAAACCCTAAACCCTAAACCCTAAACCCTCAACCCTAAACCCTGTCTATTCCTTGGTTACTCCTGGGTCTAGCCAAGGTGGAAGGCGTTCTAGGCGCCGGCAATGGCGGCAGGGTCCACCTCTGGAAGTGGGTCATGCACGAGGCGGAGGGGCGTGTGCTCTGAGGCTAGTTGAAAGCAGGGTTTAGGGTTTAGGGTTTAGGGTTTAGGGTTTAGGGTTTAGGGTTTAGGGTTTAGGGCTCAACCTTTAGTGCGCTGAGTTAAGGTGTAGGATTGAAGGTCGACGGTTTTCCCTAGAAGCCTTCGTTTGGTTAAGGGCAGGGGCTTCCAGATCGAAAGCCCAGGCCACTTAACCCTCAGGTTGGGATGCTTCCCGTTATACTAACAGTCCTTAATCGGAATTGTAGTACCACTTTTCTTTGCTTGGCCCGCCAGCAACGATGCTCCTAGCGGTGCTGGTAGCATGCTTGGAGCTTTGCTCCGGAGCCCAGAGGCAGTGGCCGCAGCCACCCCTAGAAAGAGTGCGGCACCATTGCAATGGATGCTTCTTAGACCTGACGCCGGCTGCTCGAACGTGTGATTTCAACTACGAAAGGATCTGCACTGAGAAGGCGGGCTGCCTGCGTCCGGATGCGCGCTGCATCGAGGGCCCGACGCCTCACTCGCTGTATGACATGCGGTGCTGCTGTGTTCCAGAGGACGGTGTGACGGACAGCAGCGTGTGCGACATTGTTGATTTTCTCCACTTGCCTGGAATATATTTGCACTGTAAACTGAAATGCTGTGAACATCAGACTTGTGCAACGGGCTGCGCGGACAAGGATGAAGGCTGCGGCGAAGCCCTGCCCCCTTTTGAGGGCCCATGCCGCATTTGGGCCAACGCCACAGCACCGCAGCAGTCTGAGGCAAACTGCTGCCTCTGGGGCCGTGGAGTGAAGTGCTCCTCCACCCGGGAGGAGCCTTGCTGCATGGAGGCAGATGTGCATCCCGGGCAGCTTTGCCAGCCCACGCAGGCTGCCTGCATGATAAAGCCTTCAACAACGGCAATCCCGGAGCCGGCAGGCGGATCCAGCCTAGCAGAGACGGTCTGCATAGTGAGTGCGGCACTGTCAGTGCTAGGGCTCGTGGCTGGCGTGGTCATCACTCAGTGCAGGGGACGAGGTCCTGAAGCCAGGGAGCGCTTGTTGCGGGAAGCAGGCCCTGCCATGTCGCTGGTCGAAGTGCCTCCCACTGGGAGGAGGGTCGCAATCATCGTAACATGTGAGCATTTCAAGGCTGGTAGCCCTAGCTTCGACAACATTGACGGAGCTCGTGGACAAGGACTCCGGTTGAAAAGCATGTTTGAAGACGAGCTGGGCTTTGACTCGGATTTTGTGGTGCATGAGCCGGACGTATTGACGACGGCCGACTTTTGGCAAGTAGTGGCTCGTCTGTTGCAGAGGCTAAATGGTGAGCCGCATGTGCTGCTGGTTCTGTACTTCATTACGCACGGTGTGGACGTGGATTTCAATCTGCACATGGCAATGGGTGCGGCTGCCCCACGTGCATTGCTGGACGAGTACTACTTGACCAAAGCAGCTCTGCAGCGTGGCTTCCAGACAATTGAGTGTGCCTCGGATGCCAAACGCCTCTACAACTGCCAACCTCTGCCGTATATGAACGTTGCGATCTTCACAGACACCTGTCAGTGGCCGCCCCCGCCAGGCGCAACCAGGGGCGTGCCGCCCGAGGCCAATGTGCGGCACCTGCAAGTGAGGGACAAGCCTGCACGCATTGGCTTTGTACACGCATGCGAACGCGCCCGCCCGGCCACGGGGAGCTTCACGGAGGTCTTTCTCGAGATGGCAAGGGAGCCCAGGAGTCTGGATGCTCTCATTGACAGCATGCGCGCGAAGCTGGAGACAAGCACTGGCTTCGGCAGCAGCGTGTCTGCTGTGACGCGGGCAGCCTAGTCCTTAAAGACATCTATCTGAATCCTGGCTCTGGTTTGCCTTCAAGCTCGTCCAGCACCATGATGGGACCGAGCTCCTCCTGCAGCGTTCCGTCTGAGGCAGCGGCCTAAGCCTCTGCCAAGTCACCAGGTATATGATTTTGGAGAAAGTGGGATGCCCTTGGCGCAAACCCCAAATCGGCATGCAGCACCCTAACCCCAACACTCAAAGCTCCAGGGTTTACAACCCCTAATGTAAACCCCAAATAGTATAGGATCACCTCATAAGACGGACCCCAACAAGGTACGCCTAGTATCGTAAGCCCCCAAATATCTGAAGCCCCAAATTCCCAAACCCATTTCAGACTAACCCCTTTCAGACTGTGTCCTGGGGCCAGGCCGAAAGCATCGACGAGGTTGGCAAGCCAGCTGATCAACCGTTCATTCACGGGAGCAGCTGTTTGGTGTGGGATCAAGAGGTCTAGGGGTTCAGGTTTCTGGGGTGTCAGGGTCTTTTTGGGTTCTGGACTTTGAGTGCAAATTTGATGGGTGTTCGGGTTTGGGATTCAGGCTTCGTGGTTTGGCATCGTTGAGAGCTTGTGTCGTTGGCTCAGGATGAGCTTGCGACAGTTTGCGATGTCCGGGTGTTGGGTTGAAGGGTTGGGTCGGGTGTGCACGCTGGTCCCATGCGTCTTGAAGCCTAAGCCCTAACAATCAAGTCCTAAGCCCAAAACCCTCAGCCCCCCCAACTCCGTATTGTACTTGACCCCAGAACCCTCAAAAAGTCAGGAAGCACCCAAGCCCAGGCTTAAACCCTAGACCCCAGAGCCCCATGCCCCTTAATCCCCCAGCCCTGATCCCAATCAACCCGAAACCCTAAACCCCAACGCGCTTGGAGGTCGAAGGAGATACTTTCGACGTCGTGGCTGCCTGGGGCTTGTGGCTTCAGGGTTGAGGGTTTTGGGGTTTAGGCTTTAGGGTTTAGTGTTTAGGGTTTAGGGTTTAGGTCAAGCATTTAGGGTTTGGGGGTTAGGGGGTCCAAGCGGTTTAGTCCTAGGGTTCCGGGGCCAAACCCTAAAGCCTACTTCCAAGATGTGAAGCCGAACTCTCTCAACACGTAGGTTGCAGGATACCCCAAGCTCAGCATGAGCAGCGGGAAGGAACATCGACTCACAATCTCAACTCCGCCACAATGCTCCTCCCCTCAAACCATGGCTGCTGTTAAGGAACTTATAAGTAAGTGGCCATTGTATGTCTGTCTGTCTGTGTGTGTGTGTGTGTGTGTGTGTATGCTTGTTGGGGGCTTACGAACATACGGGACCCCGAAAATAGACACCAAATACTAGGATCCCCTTATAATATCGGCCCCAAGAAGGCCCCCCCGCCCGCCTTATACCTCAACTCTGAACTCTCCATATTTGAACTGTTCAACATCAAGCCCTCGTAATCCTTACCGGTCTCATAAACGGCCCAAAGCATTCCCTTTCTAGGCAACCTCAACCCCGCACTCACAGCACTGGGTCCCCGCGAAATCCTGCCTTCAACAGGCACTTTCAACTTCCGTCCCACAAAGAACCCTGAATTCTGAACCCTAAGCCGTAAATCCTCCTAAGTCTTGAGCCCAAGCCGGTACAACAAACACAGCCGGGATCAGGCAGTGCGCAAGGAGTACCCCAGTGCTTGGGCGGCTGCCCCAGATGCCCTGGTGTGTCAGGGTTTTGGGCTTTAGGGTTTCAGGAGTTGGGCTTCAGTGGTTGCGGCGGGGAGTGCGGTGTTCCCTAAACCCTAAACCCCAAACCCTAAACCCTAAACCCTAAACCATAAACCCTAAACCGCACACCCGAAGTTTCAGGGCCGGGCTCCTGGATGGGGCTGGTCAGCGTCAGTGCAGTTTCTGAGATGCCTTCTCTCGCTCTCCTTGGCTACTTAAGTGCTGCATACTGCCTGTTCCTCCCCCCCGAAACCTGAACCCAAACCCCATGCGGCTTGTTCTACGTTCGTGTCCCCTCACAAATGCCATTTTCAGGATCCCTCATATACCCAGAACAGGGGGCCTGCCTCAGCCGCCGAAAGCATCCACCTGGCCCTGCATCTGGGACAAGTGGATGTTCAGTCATGCCAGCGAGCCGCCTTGCGAAAGGCCTACATCTTGAAGTCCTAAACCCAAAAAACCTTCAACCCGAAAACCATGCAACCGACCGAAGCCTGAGCCCACCCATACCCTGGACAGGCCACCACCACATAACCCTAAGCTCTAGGTCTCAAATCTGCCCTAACAGGTTTGCTGCGAAGCGTTATGTAAGCTACCATGACAAGGGAACCATTCCTTGTACTTTATATCCATATTCTGGGAAACCCCCTAAACCCTAAACCCTACACCCTACACCCTAACCCCTAACCCCTAACCCCTGACCCCTAAACCCTAAACCCTAAACCCTAAACCCTAAACCCTAAACCCTAAACCCTAAACCCTAAACCCTAAACCCTAAACCTTGTTGTGGAAGACATGAAGCTCTCGAAGCCAAGGTGCCCGAGGAGGCAGACTTGCCTGTCGCTGCCCCGGCTCTGCGCGTGCTCGGTGGAGGGTTTGAGGTTCCCAAGTCTTTAAGAGGCCTAAACCCTAAACCCTAAACCCTAAACCCTAAACCCTAAACCCCAAACCCTTAACCCCTAACCCCCAACTCCCTAACCCCCACAACTCCCCAACCCCTAAACCGTAAACCCAAATCCTCAAACCCCAAGGCCCCTTTTTGGGGCTTGCAGCTGGGGTTCAGGGTAGAGGGCTTTTGGGTACGAGGGGCCCTTGCGGGGTGGAGGGTTTTGGGTTTGGGGTTTAGGGTTTAGGGTTTGGGGTTTAGGGTGTAGGGCTTGGGGTTTAGGGTTTGGAGTTTAGGGTGTTTGGGATTTGGGGTTTAGGAATTACAGGGTTTAGGGTTTAGCTGTTGTGGGTTTAAGGCGGTCTGGAGCTCCACGGGAGTCGCCTCGAACAATCGACAGTAGCACCCCGCACCCCGACACCCCAAACAGACACGGGGTTCGTGTAGTTAACGAGTCCTTAACGGAGTGGCGATTCAGGGGGGGGATAGGTACCAAGGGACCTTTGGGAGGCTTAGGGAGTAGTGGGGAGTATTCAGGGAGCTTGGGTTACATACCCCCCCCCCCTCCCTTAAGAACCCTATAAATTAAGGGGTTTGGGGTTGGATCACGTTTAGGGGTTAGGGGTTTAGGGTTAAGTTCACAATCCCAACCACAGACCTTCGCCAAGGAGTCACCGTCGAGCGCTTCGAATAGGCACGTTGGAATGAGTGTACGGGTTTAGGGTGCAGGGTCGGAGGTTTCGGGCTTCGGGGGTTGGAGTTTGGGTTTAGGTTTTGGGTTTGGGGTCTGGGGTTTGCGGTTTAGGGGAAACCCTCTACTGTAAACGGACTTGGGACGACCTTGCTGCGTTGGACTGTGTGGGGGGGGGGTGTAGATACTGTTTTAACGCCCTTTCACCGTTGGGCCACAGCTGAGCCATCGGAATCTTTCTGCAGAATTATGCCCCAGACTCTTAGACCCTCAACCCTAAATCCGAAACCCTAACTCCGAAACCCTTGGGACAGTTTATATTTTCCCTGATTGGGCTTAAGACGACGATACTTAGGAACATTTTTCAGAGGGCTTTAGCGTCCATCCCAGTTTCGTAGCAAAAGCTTGGAAGCCCAAACCCTAGAAGCTACTAAACACCCCCAAGAACCTACATCCCTAACAAAAAAATCCCCGAAACACCGAACCCTAAACCCTAACCCCAAGCCCTAAACCCTACACCCTAAACCCTAAACCCCAAACCCTAAACCCCAAACCCCAAACCCCAAACCCTAAACCCCAAACCCTCCCTAAACCCCAAGCCCTAAACCCTAAGCCCTCTACCCTAAACCTGCAGCCGCAGGTCCCCTCCTGGGGACGACGAAGTCCACCACGAGGACTACGAAGCGGACTCGGCTAGCGATGTGCGGAGACTCGGGACCAGACTCGGGACCAGGGTTTAGGGTCTAGGGTTTAGGGTTTGGGGTTTAGGGTTTAGGGTTTCCTTAGCCCCTAACCCTTGCATTCTCAACTCCAAATCCTAAGCCCTACCCAGCAAAAGTTCAAAAGGTTCTTGGTTCATTACCCCCAACATAAGGCCCAACTATCCCTTCGTGGCGCCTTGTTTATGATTGAAAGGGTTGCCCCGACACTTCCCGTCGAGCTGTGGTGTCACAACAAGGCTACCATCTGCCAAGCCCCTTTTTCGAAGCTGGCGGAGCCAACACCTCCACCTTCGGGCTAGCGTGATCAGAGACAACATTGAAGAAGGATGGGTCCTGCAGCACCTGCCTGGTGCAGATCTGCTGGCGGACTTGGGGAACCAAGGCCCTAGGAGCTGCCGGGTTCTTGGAACTCTTGTGTGGTGTCAATGGACCTTCGGTCAGTGACCATGGGCCAACTCCGGACTGAGCCCCAAACCCCTAAAACCCTCAACCGCAAGATCCCGAAAGCCCCAAAAACCCTAAACCCTCCAACCCTAAAACCCTAAAAGAAGCCCTGCAGCCCTAAAACCCTCCGACCCTAAAAAGCCCTGAGACCTAGAAGCCCTAAGCAGGTTGCGAGAGCCTGGCCCTAAATCTAAAACCCTAAAACCCTAAAAGCCCTGAACCCTAGAACCCCGAAGCGCCAGGTGTTGTGAGAGCCTAGCCCTAAACCGAAAGCCCTAAAACCCTAAAAGCCCTGAACCCTAAGCCTGCAAACCCCAAAACCCTACAACCCCAAAATCCTAAAACACCTATGCCCTAAACCCTAAAACTCCCTAAAACCCCTAAAGCCTAGAAACCTTAAACCCTAAACCCCTGGATCCTTAAATGCCCTAAGAACCCTGAACCCTAAAAACCCTAAAGCCCTAAAACACCACAAACACCACAACCCTCCAAGCCTAAAGCCCCTAAAAAACCTAAACCCTAAAGCCCTCAAAACTCCCCGAAAGCCCTAAAAACCTTTGCACCCCTA